ATAGTTTTACTTTTTACTGGAAAACAAAACAAAATATATGAAGAAATTCATGTTTCAGAAATTCTGTTTATATTAATGTTGACCTCATAAATAAATAAATTACACAGATGTTCAAAAGCACATCAATTGCTATTACATTTTGCTGTGGGATTGGAATTCATATTGATTTTTATGACATTAGTATTGACAACTGAAATTATTCCATTGTTCTCACAACCCTAGAAGTGATTTGAAAGTCCTAAGTAACAGGTTTTGATTCAGTTCAGTTCAATACATGTGCCACTTGTGCGAGATGATGCAGCAGTGTGCTCTCGAAGCCTTCATTTTCTCCTTTTCTTTGAATCTGGCCTCATCTGAACTTAAAACCTTCATCAAAGTCTTTTCTTCTGAGGTTGTTGGAGGTCAGCAAATAGGGTGGTATTGGTATTATTATAGAGACTTTCTCCACAGCCTTTCTTTCTGTCAACAAGGGACTTTAGAGACTGCACTCTTTGCCTCTCACTCTCCCTCTCTCCAATCTCTTTGGAGACAAATGACCAAGGGTAAAGTTGAGGACTTATCTCTGTATTCCTTTCTTCACAGCTTCCGTCCATCTATTTGAGTGTGCTGCTAAATTAAGACTGTTTCCACACTGGGCACTCGCAGCCATGTTGTTTTATCCCATACATGTTATTCTGCTTTTAAAGAGCATGTTTTTTTAGCATTGCCTGATGCAAAAAAAAAACAAAAAAACACACACGTCACCACTTCATCACGTCATGCAGCCATTACAGCAGATTGACATAAAGAGGAAAACTAAAAGAATAGCTCCAATAAATCTGGTATTTGTATGCTCAGGAGAAAATCAAAACTCGCAAACCATCAACCATGCAGTCAGACCATGAGAGAGGAAACAACTGTGTGTTATTGCTTTTATGTAGAGTGCCTCTTAAAGGTGCTCCCTGAGCTGGAAGAGTTCATTTACTAGATAGATCTTGACAATGGACTCTTTTGTTTTTGAGCATTAGCGTGCTCTACTACAAAGCAGTAAAACCCTAATAACGTCCAAAAAGGGACTCGGGCACTGACTCACTCTAAGCATTACCTGTCTCCTCATCTCAGTGCCAGACACTTACCCAACTGAGAGCCAGATCAGTGGAGCTTTCAAACTGGATACACTGACCAGAGGACTTACAGGGGTGCTGTAATGAGAAATCTAACAATGAGAGCTGTTTTCTTGCTTTTGAGTAAATGGATGACCCAATAATGTCATTTATCCATGAGAACATTTATGTTTTGGTGTCAAATCACACGCACACACATATTTTGTATATATACTGCACACATACTGTGGCCCCAAAAAATATCTGAACATTTAAGCTACACTTAAAATATATTAATTGTCTTTGCATTGCATAATAAAATCAATAAAGTCACATTGAAAGCAGTTTGTTAAAAGTAATTGAAAAAGAAAATGACTTATGTTAGTTCTGAGTAAAGGTTTTCTGAGTAAAGGTTTTCTCTTGTTTATATATGGGTGTGGGATGTCGACATGTTTCCGTGTTGTTGCTCAGCAATGGCATGGACGCGATGTTGTCTGGGGGTTTGGCAAAAGGAGAGTGGGACTGTGGGCTGTGCTCGGGGTGGTGTCTGTGTAGTTCTGACGTCAACTTTTTACGGAAGTCACAACGGTTCATGAAAAATCACAGATACTTTATGCAGGCTGTGTGCATTTTACTGTGGACTGACTGCTTTGAAACTTGTATGGTAGTTAAATAGCCCCTAAACCTCAGTTATCGTGAAAAAAGCCAGGAAATTTCAGTTTTGACAATATGGGACCTTTAATGATTGCTATCGGGATGTGAAGAGACTTTCAACCAGCATAACAAAAAATGTTTCTGAAGACAATCACCTATTGCACCTTTAATCAATGCTGTCTTAACTTGATCAAATACACTAAAACTGTAATATTGTCTGTAATATTATTATCATAATTTAAAATAATTGTTTTATAACAATGTAAATTACTTTGCTGTCACTATCATTTTAATGCATCCTTGCTGAATACTAGTATTAATTTCTTTAAAAAATCTTACTGACCCCAAACTGAAAGATATAGCTTATGTATCTACAGTATGTATGTATGTAGGTATAGTGTGTGTGTGTTTGTGTAGGACATGCGGTTTGGAAAATGGATAGATGTGTGTGTGTGTGTAGTGTATACTGCTCACTATACCGGGAAATTCAGTTACTATTAAATAGGTCACAGCCTCCGTATAGTATGCTGTTTCATGCGATAATGGGCAGAGTGTGTTATTTAAGTGAGTTAGAAAGAGTACAGATAGTAGATGCCAAACAGACCACTCCATCTCAGATGCGGTGCACATGATGGAGTTACAACGATCCACCGTGTCAAGAGAATTCTGGGAACATGCTTTTTCTGAAAAGAAAGACAGCTGTTGCAGTGAACATGATGCACCTCATGAGCACCTTAAAATACATCATGATTGTGCAATGTTCACAATGTTATTAGAGTTTCAGTACCTCAAGTCCTTTTCAAAAACTCATTGCTGTTGCTGCATCATCGTTCTGTGCACCTCACATAGGCAAGGGGAAATCGAATTAGACATCAATTGGAAATTGTTCAGAGTATTGGACGTGCTGTAATGGTTTGTGCTGTTTTTAAGTTGTGATTTTCTAAGATCACCGGCGTCTTTGGTTTACTTTACTGTCCATCGCTCTCTCAACTTGGCAAAGCCAAATGCTTCTGTGATCGACGAGACATAGTTTTAGAAGAATTTATCTAATTTCAGAATGCAATATCCTTGTTTGTAGGATGTGAACTCTGTGGGATGTGACATCTTTGGGATGTCATTGAACGGTTGGTTCAATCTATGGATCAACCAATAGGAAATGGGATGCATTTATGGTCATTAAAGCTGCATTGGATCCAATACTTGCAGCATGCTTCTGACATCTCATAGACTCCGTACTGCGATTTATAACGACAGCTATTGAGGCTATTGGTGTTTATTGGCTTGAGATTTTATGTAGTTCCTAATGAAACTGCAACCTGCCAGTCACAACACTCAGTGTCCAAAAACATCAGCTTCATTGCTTCCAGCGATTATTCCAACATTAATCCTTCACCTTGATCCTTCACCCCCTGTGAGGAAGTTCTCTTTTTCACAATCCTTATGTGAATTGTATGAACATGTTGCATTTAGCATTTTATTTCTGTAGCATGTGATTCCAGACCTATGTTGTGCTACAAAAAGACAACACAAGAGTATAATGAGCAATGTGTAAATCATGGTCATACACCACTTTTAAGGAACACTTTATAATAACTTTCATTAATAAATCATTAACAAAAATTATGTAATGCTTAACGGATCATTAGTTAATATATATTCACGTATGTAGAAACATGAAATAATGTGCTTGTTAATGTTTACTAATAAATGTATTAAACATTATCTAATAATTAACATTTCATGTAAATGAAAATGCTTACAAATGTCATTAAACTTCTAATTCATATGATCATGCACATCTTGGAAATCTACAAATGATTTTAACAGATGTTATACGATGATTTAAAGCTTTTGTTAATGCACAACACTTTTGCTGCTATTGAGGTGCGATATGGGTAAGGTTAAGGACAGGTTTGTGGTATGGGTAGGTTTAAGGGTTGATTAATGGATCAGACGTGTACAGGGGTCAATTTGATTGCTATAAGGGAACACGATTCAATCTGTTTATATTGCATTGTTTTGATAAATGATAAATTAAGTATTTTCTTGAAAATTAGTCCCCACCCCCCCCCACCCCCCTCCTGTTGATGTATGATTCAAGGAATATTCTGTTTAATGATTCACAATAGTATACTAATATAAGTGTTGAGGCAATAAAAACATGTTTTGCACCCAAATTACAATGTGTGCAAATTACAAGCATTTAGCTAAACTAACCACCCTTAACACAAACGTTGTTACATTAGCTAAAAGTCCAGTGCCAATATAGATAATAAAAAAAATTGTAAATGTTTATAAACATTTACAAATTATGAATAGTCTCAACTTTAGATTGGGCACTGCAAAAACATTAATAAATGATTAATAAATGATTTGTAAAGATGTGAAAATAGGGTTAATTCCGGCCATTTGGGACACTTTCTGCCATCAAAATGACTGCTCATGAAAGTACTAATGATTAGTAAATGTTTATAAACATTTACAATTGATGAATAGTTTCCATAAAAGCCATAATCACATATTATGTTGGTGCAGTCTTCATAGCAGAGTCTGAGGATGCAAAACAGAGAGATATTGATTCCAGCTGGCCTCAGTCATGTCTGATGTAATACTTTGCTGTTAGGCATATGGTCCATTGAACTATATAATAGCAGCATTGCAGGTGGGCAGCGAGGGTAAATTATGAGTGTAGTTTCTCATTGCTTCAAAACTTGGAATAAGGAAGAAGGCAGTGGCATCATTTGAGACATGCTTTATGTATGCCCCAAATCAGCTGAATAAATAAGAGTAAATAATACTGTGATGTCCAAAAGTCTGGGACTGCATCGAAAATCTGGAATCTAATTTAGACATGGAAATAAACATGGTTTATGAGTTGGAAAATAGTAAAACAAAAAAGTGATGTACGAATAAAAAGACATATTTAAGATTCTGTACTAGTTGCTAAATAATAAGAAAGTTCCTTCCCAAGAGTTCCTTCCCCATTTTATTTGAATTATTAATAAATAATGTTGGATTTCATGGAAGTGATTATAGAATTTTAATAAAATGTGTGTATTTTATATATATATATATATATATATTTATATATATATATAATATAATAGTACCACTACAACAGTGCGAGTGTACAAAAACAATAAATGTAGATATATTAGTTTTTATGTATTATATAGCATATTTTAAAAACTTTTTAAAATATAAAATGTATGTTTATTTTGAACAGTTATGCTAACAACAATAAAAAGACATATAGGCCAGTAAAACAGCGAATCAGCTGATGGACAATATAATATAATATGATATGATATGATATGATATATGATATATCACAAAACTTCTTAGACGTTTGGACCTACAGTATTTGTGTTAGTTATCAAATCAAAACCTTCCTATTAAACTACTGAATCCAAAATATCATAGATCCAATATTATGTGGCATGTTAAGTCACATGTTAACCAAGCTTGGTTTCTTTATTAATGTATCAGCTTCCATGAGCTATAAAGTGTGCTTAAATGGACAGTTGTTACATTATTGCATTTCACTGCTCTAATGCAATAGATACCTCAATCTAAGACTGCGCTTCCTCAAATTTATGGGTCTAGTGTAATGGCATACAATGGAATGCACAATAGAGTGCATTCCCTCCAGGCTGTTGCTTTTTTTGTGTTGTTTAATTATTCATATTCCCTCTGATATATGTTAACATAAAAGGTTAACAAAAAACAAACTGATTAATCCCAGGGCTTTTACAGTAAGAAAAGACATTAGGACAAAAGTGTGATATTGAGTTTTTGTTGTTGTTGTTTTTGCATCAGATCAAAATCATGAGTCATGTTTAAGCTGCTTTTTGTAAATGAAACATTTTAGCATTAGACCATTAGCTTGCAACAAGTTAATTATGGTTAGCATTTTTCAGTCTTTCTCCCCTATGGTTTACCACAACACTGTTTGCATTTCTATGAGTCTTCAGAATGACACATACTAAGTAGAGCATTTTGATGAGCTTAAATAATTAGTTTTGTCTGGATGGTTTTGTTTCTCTCTTGCGGATATTCAGCATTTTCCATATGCATCATTGAACCGAGGGCACCTTCATTCTGTGGCGAGGTGGACGTTAGAAATGCATTTAGGGTAAATGAGACACTGAAATGCATGGATCGATTGCACTTGGAGACGTTTTCTGAGCTCCTCACTCTTTAGGCCAATGGCTCAGAAGGATGAGGTTGCTGTGCACAAGACAGAGCCTTAATGGATCTGAGAGTGGGTGTGTGGAGAACTGAATTCAGATTTAACCGAAAAGAGGACTACATAACCCAGAAACAGATGCTGAAGCACAGATAACATTGTTTTCCAAAAATTCCCACTTGCATGATATTCTTACGCTTCTCCTGCTCTTTGAAATAAAGCAGCATTTCAACACCAAATCAATATTTTCCACCCCAAACTTCATCACTCATAAAACCAGCTTAGGTGCTTGAAGGTGAGCTAAGCCATCTGTGATAGGTGAAATTTAATCAGAACAAATACAACATTTCAGTCCTTATGCTCTGACCAGACCGATTGTGTGATATGGTTGTCTGATTAGCTCATAATTAATAATAATAATAATAATAATAATAATACCTGTCTTAGAGGAATAGTTCACGTTCTTTTAAATATCTTATTTTGTGTTCTACAGAAGAAAGAAAGCTATTTTTGGGTGAATTATCCCTTTAATATATTTTATACATTTTTCAAGATATCACTGGAAATGGAATATTAATTTATTATTTACTTGTAAGTAATCATGTGATTACATTAATATTGATATTAAATCATGATTACATAATATTAATTATTTATATCAGTTAGTTTTCTGTGCTTTGATTTGTGACATATCCCAATTTATTTTGATTGTAATATACTGTATATAACTGACAGTTTATTAAAATATAATCCACGTTTTTCTTGATTTCTTCTTTTGCAGTTGCATAAAAAATAAGTATCAGTAAGTATTAGCAATGGATTTGATAAATTATGTTTTTTTATATATTACTTCGTTTCTTTCACTGTGCAACATTACACGTCCTGTTTGAAAATTAAACAAATTAATATGTATTATTTTTTTAAACAAGTTTACATCCTCATTTTATCTAACCTGAATTTGCATCAGAGAACTTTAGATTTTTATTTCCATCCTTCTATATTCCAACTTCTTCATTTTCTTACTGTTGTATTAATAATAAAGTTCAAATTCATGAAGTACCTGAACTGACCAAAGCGTATTTCTGTCATAAGGTGTGTTATTTATTTTACGCTTAAACACTACAGTTTAGGAATAACCCCTGTATATTATGTGTAGTATACAGTATATATGGTGAAATATTGTTGGACTTTATGGTCATAACAGCCATGCTCAGTATGGCTGGTGTCCACAGAGTGTTAACGCTGTCAGCACTGATAAACAAAAACAGCATCGTAAACTAAAGCACAGTGTCTTCTGGGAAATCTGGACAAATGCACACTGTACACAGCGAGAACTCGTCAGGCCTGTGGGGACTCACAGCCACGGTGCTAGCCGTTCCCTTTAGAGCACCATCTCATTTCGTGTGGAGTTATCCCAGCGCTGAACCCTAGGCAGGCCATTGGATGCAGGAGGGGGGAACATTTCACGCAGGTCTGGAGCAATGTGAGTGATGAGGAGCTTGTAAATGATTCTCTTGTGCCTCATTCTCTCCACCAGCTTTTGCTCCCAACCATCCACAGAGCTTCTTCCAGCCCCCCACACTCGGCTAATGGAGCTGAGTGGCTGTATAAAGCCCACTCGCTGCGGCGGAATATTCCGCCCTCTGTTTTAAGGATGCTTCTCTGCAATGATGTAAATATTCATTAAGAAGTGTACTAGCATATGGGATTGCGTGTAAGATTGACGAGGTTGCCTCACAATGCTCGCAAATAACCGCGAAAACAGGTGATGCCTATTGATGTGGTGCAAACATCAATCCCTCATTTTCACTCGCTGTGTGATCACAGCACTCAGGCCGGCCAGCAGCACCGCTGAGTGATATCCCAGCCTTATCTATCCTATGACTGTCAAAGCTATCTGTAGGACACACCACATGTGTTATATCCCACACAGCCTCCATAACAACAAATCACAACCAAGATGTAGAGAGCGTGTATATACGGCACAATGCAGTTTTTATTTTTCTCAGGCGAGGATCTGAGTCTGTTTTGAGTGGTTATGACTGTTTGATAATTATTAAATGTCAGTGAGCAGCGTAATTGGGCTCTTGATGGATTCATTTGATGGTGTATGGTTTCAAAATCCATGTGCATATGTCGGAGCCACTTCTGAGCTATCACGTTGAAGGGCTTAAATGTTTAGATTTTTACTAAAGTGATTTTCTTAGACCTCATTTTAACCTCCTCCTGATGTTGAGAGCAGGGTAGTTTTCAGTCATCAACTCTGATCAATCATGCTTTTGCTATGTTAATTCTTGCACTTTATCTAATATGCAAAAATATGCAAATTTCTTTTTGACCCTATAATCGTTTTACACTGTCTGACTGTCTCTAAAATGTAAAATAGCTATTTCCATGCTTTAGTTTTACCCGTTTATTTTTATTTATTTATTTTTTTTTTTAAATAAATCTTGGTTGCTTAATGAGATTCAGTGTAGACTTTTGTATTCTGTGTTTCAGACTTTTGTGCTGAAAAAAAGAAAAAAAAAAAAAAACTAAAAATCTCAGAAGAGATCTCTCGGGACCTCTCAGCACAGCTGACCTGCTTCTCCGCCGCTACAGCGACACAGCAGTTCCGGTCCGTTTTCCCCTGTCGCCATCCGGCGATTCTAAAAGAGCTTATTTCTTGCAGGTAAGCCCTAAAAGAGCAAATTGTAGCAACGTTGTTGCAAATGTCGCTCTGCGAGTGTGGCTCGTGCAGGGAAACTTGCACGATGTAGAAGAGCAATGAATATGTCATCTGTCTGGGCAGACCCCACGCAGAGACTGTTCT